GACATGACTGATTCTACAGAGTAAAGAAAGAAGAGACAGAGACGTGCTCGTATTGGAATGTGAAACCTTTATTGTAAAGACACAGAGGGAGTTGAATGCCTGCCACCACGTTCTGTTCAAGGCACTGAGTCTTTCACATCCGCCGCTCGTCTGTCGGACTACTGCTACAGGCTAACACCACACTCACACAGGCTAACACCAGCTAACACCAGCTAACACCGGCTAACGGGCTAACACGCTAACACGCTACGCTGCACATATTCACATGGGACTGGGGCTGCGGTCTACACAACACGGCAACACTGCAAAAATACGGCCCGCTTTTCACCTCCGCAGCAGAACTATGGCTTTGTTTGGTTAAATATGTGATGAGTGTGAGACGCGACCGCGACAGACCGGCTTCCTCAGAGATGGCTGTTTAATGTTTGATATTGTGTGAAATATCATAGGCAGAATGTTATTGTCATATATTGTATTATTCTTGATCTGAAGGCCAGTTTTGATAAAAAGAACTGAACATGGGCTGCTTTTCATTAGCCTTAAATCATGGCTCTCACACACTTTGTAGTGATTGACAGATATAAGTCCCGCCTCCCCAACATCATATAGGCTAATCTCAGCTAGCCCTAAAGTGGATTACAAGAATAATACAGATATTCTTTACTTTTTGACGGTTCTTTTCTTTGGGAAGTTAAATCTGGAGGCTGTTCTTACATTTGTTGATACATTTGTAATTAACTAAAAACACTAACCCCGCCTCACCAGCCACGATGTCACAATATTACATAATGTAATTGATGTTTTGAGCTTTCACAACATGTTTTAATGTTATTCCTTCATCAAAAACATTATTTAACTGTTTTGTAGTCTCTCCACAACAGAACTCTGTTGCACTTTTCAGACCCCGCCCTCTGATACGAGGCTCCTCCCGGCCCCTCCCTTCAGCAGTACAAAATTATCTTCTAGAAATTGAAAATTCCAAATATCAATACACAATTTTAACTTGGAATCTGGTGACATGTGTTCAGCAAGTTGCGGTTTTAAAAGTTAAAAACATACTTTAAAAGTGTGGGTCATCAGACTATTTTGCTCATATCTTGAACTTGAATAACAGACCCAACATTTTCAGCAGGCCACTTATTAGCAACAAATACAAACTATGTCCAATTCTATGTGGATTTTAGAAGAAGTATGATGCATTGTTATAGTTCATTTAGTTTAGTTTAGTTATTTAAAGGTACAGGGACAGTGTTCAACTAGATTTGGATTTAAATCTAACAGGACAGTGTAATTGAACAGACAATATTGTACAAAACAGACTTTCTGAAGACCAATTCGGACAAAACAATTTTGTTTTAAAAGGCTGTCCATGGAATCATATTGAAAGGATTGGTCACAGAGTAAAAAACTTGACAAATGGGCATTTGTACAGAGGGGGCGGGGACGTGTTTGTGCCAAAAGTGTCGGAAATTAGCAAAAATTAAACTAAAAAAAACACCCCCATGTTTTTGATGAGGGAACAATGATGTAACATGCGGTAAATAACTTATTTTCTCTGTTGAAGCAATTACATACAGGTTTTAGTGTTGAAATGTCAAACTACCCTTCAGTGAGGTCCGTCGGTCTGTCGCGCTCTCTCGTTTGGCCTCTAAAAGCAGTGGAATACACAAAATGTGACCATATAAAACAGGTGTATGAGTCTATGTCTAGATCGGTGCACTTGCTGAAGAAGTGAGAGAATGACATGAAGTCATCCTGCCGTCCCACAATCCTTTTGGTCTCTGCAAAGTAGTGAGCATTTACACCCTGACCGCTTAGACGTGAAGCTAGCGTATAGTTGCATAAGAACAAAAAAATATTGGTCCAGTTATATCAGAGGAGTGTTTGAATGTAGTTTGTATTTGGTCCATTTCAAAGGATCCAGAAGGAAAAAGCTGCACAAAGCCACCACCGATAATGGATTTTTTCCCAGTGAGATTTGTAAGCTACGGTTGAGAGATTAAGACCAACTTGTTATGTGTATTTGACTGTGTCTTTATTCTATCGTACAAAAAAACAACAACTATTCTTTACTTTCATGAGCAGTCAAGGTGAAAATATAGTTTGGGATCCAGCACGTCTCCCATTATTGGCTCAGACTCTTCAAATCTGTGAATGATGTCACCTTTAAAGCTGGGGTACCCACATTTCAAACCACAATACAAGGAACAATGCATTATAATCCATCCAGTTCCACGCTTTCAAATCATCCATCCGTCCATTATTATCCCGCTTTATCCGTTCCTGGGTGGCAGGGGCAGCAGTCTAAGCAGAGACGCCCAGACTTCCCGCTCCACACACACTTCCTCCAGCTCATCCGGGGGAATTCCAGGGCGTTCCTAGTCCAACTGAGAGAAACAGTCCCTCCAACGTGTCCTGGGTCTTCCCCGGGGGTCTGCTCCCGAGACGTCATGCCTGGATCACCTCCTGGATCAAAACAGTTTGCTTCTATCACTTGTGTCCTAACCTATGTATTTTTTGGCCTCTGTCACATCTTTAGATTAGCTTTCTCATACAGACCCGCCCACCAACCTCAGCCAATCAGCTCTCAGCCCAAAGCAAGTGTGGCTAACGGGACTATTTCTTACTCTTAAGTTTGCAAAAAGATTACATGTGGTCCGATTTGTTCACAACATTTTACTACTTTGTTGAGCGTTAAGACAAGAAAAATGTTTTCTGTATGAGAAAGAAGTTAGGTACCCAAGCTTTAAGGTGTATTATTGTGAGCTGGCATGAAGCGATTGTATTGAGTTAGCTGCTTAGAAACAGCCAGAAAACCATAATTACAATATTTTCCTGTACTGGGACGATTTCCCTTCGGGTTGGCGGGTTTAAGCGGTTGCCTTCTAGATCAGAGAACTCAAAATAGCTCCAAAAAACCTCCACAATTCCCCAAATGTCCTAAAACATTCTGCTGAAACTGAAAGCTGGTTTGCAGACTCCTCAGCTCCCCTACTTCCCTTTCCTTCCCTTCCCTCGACAAACGCATCCTCTTGAAAATATCATAATTTGAGACATATTTACCGTAACGCTAAGTTGACCACGGCAAAAGTAAAAACACTATCTATGCATTCACACTCATTGGCAAAACATAAATAAAACATAGTACAGGACCCCCATCGGAACGCCCTGGACTTTTCCTGCACAATTAGTGGTCTTTACATAAGATGAATCAAATGAAGGCAAAAATAATAATACATACAAAGTGTAAGCGTATGATGCTGAAGGGAAAACAATATACAATAACAAAAGAACGACGACGTACAGAAATACAGAAATAATTGCAGTAGAAATCAGGCATGCTTTAAGTTCTAATCTTCAAACCGGGAAAAGACATTCGAAAAGCTGAAATGGCGTCCACACAGGTTTTGAACAAATGATCCAATCTGGCACTGTTGGTAAAACGCCGGCTCAGGCTGTGTCCAAGCGAGTGGCCTTTCATTTTGCAAAGGTGAAAATTGAATTCTTGAAACCTTCCCTCAAACGCACACGGTAAATTTCAACTTGAAAAATGTAATTGCAAGGGTTGCTTTAAAATCTGGATTTCAAAATATTCCAAAATGTGTCTGAAATTTGACTTTTTCAATTGATAAAAATCCCAAAATGTACACGGACATTTTACAATTTCTTCCTGGGTGAAGTTGAACTGAAATTGGCTATTTTTACTTTTTTAAATCTATTTGAATGGACTTTTTCTGCTAAAATTAGAGCTGCTACCCAATTCTCAGACCTCACTGTTCCTCCTGCAGGTGGTGGGCTTCAGGCTAAGTGGGGTTAGGTGTCTTGCCCAAGGACACAACAACAGCAGACATCAGTGGGAGTCGATGGGGGAGGCTCTCATACTGTGAAACTAGTAGAGTCCGATTGATATTTTGTTCTTATTTTTAGTACATCTCAGGCTTGAAACAATATTTGCCAATGGGGAAGAAGAGGCCTTGTTTTTCTAAGAGCCAATTCAAATCAAAACGACTCTTTTGATATTTAAAAATAAGTATTTTTAGTTTGCATCATGAGTTTAAAAGATTAATTCTCAGTCTCTGTTGAATTGTATTAGTTCTTTTGAGTTATTGCGTTACAAAATATCAAAACAAAGTATATTTCCATCAAATTTGTTTCTTAAAATCCTATATTTTGTGGCCAATTTTGAACGTTCAGACCATTTACATCTGTGACGGTTTCAAATAGATAGAAAAACGGTTCACTTGGACAGAGCCTTTAAGTGCAGCTTTTCAAAGTGAAAATCTGATCTCTTTTGTTGACTTTATTTCCCAAACTTGTGTATTCTGTGTGAACATGTTGAAAGAAGTAAGGCATGTGCTGGCTGTTACATATCCTCCTAGTCCAAAATAATCCAGACTTATTTACAGACTTGCTGGAATGGTACGGTGCACTGCGAAAAAGGGAAATACAAAAATTAAATCAGTTTCATAATATTAGATTACTAATTGGGATTCAGTCATAAGACCTTTTTGCCTGGTACAAGCAGGGAAAAAGATTTAAAAAAATAATAAGTTTAAGCCAATATTATGCATGTATATAATTTGTAAGGTCCAGTGAACACATTCAAATAAAATAAATTAATAATAATATGGAGGGAGGGAGTTTTTATGTGGTAATTTTGGGCCGGGATTACCAAAGATCCAATTGAAACCACTTTACTTAAAACAGTAACAAAGTGCTGCACGAGAAAAAGTGTAAATAGAAAAATATATATATATATATATAAGAAAATCAAATCATTTAAAAACACAACAAAAACCATAAAAAATGCCAGATATTATTCCCGCTGACCAATTTGACTTCCGTTTTTCGCAGTGTTTGAGATCACAAAGTATGTACGGCGCAAAACATTGCTTTTTTTGAGGTTTCAGTGACAGTGACCCCTCCCACCTCCAGCACCACCATCATTTTCCCCTCCCACCCACCCCACTGGCCCCGCCTCTTCCTGGTGTGTTGCCGGGTTACGCTTTGCTCTCGTTGCCGTTGGCCTGAGGAGCCTCGCTGGGCACGGTCTTGAGCTCGGGCGGCGGGATGTTGTTGGGTTCCGCCGTTCCGTTTTTCACCTCTGCGTCTGCTTTGGGAGCGTCCTCTTTTGCCATTTTAGCGCTACGAACGATGAGAAGAAAAGAAAAATTAGAGTTTGTTTGAGATGTGAGGGCATAGTTTAAAGTGAATGTCTGTAAGTTTACTGCTCACTTCCTGATTGGCACAAAGGACTAATCCCATTGGTCCAAGTTTAAACTTTGTGAACTTCATCATTTCTACTTTTTGTGACGGACTACTTTGCATTTGGGATTGATATTAATATGTTTTGGTATTTATATCGATACCTGACAATATATTCCATAGTGTATGGCTTGGTTTTATAATTGAGTCCATTCAAGAGTCTTTTTTCCATATTTCAAATGTATTTTATCTACATCCTGGAGATAAGTGTGTGTGTGTGTTCATGTGTGTTTTTATTTCTGTTTTTTGTAAAAAAATAAAAAAATAAAAAAGAAATATAAAAAAGTATTTTATGCTGTTTCTGTAAAGTACCAGCGTGACTCATTTTTAGCAACTGCTGGTGTTGTATATATACTTTTCAAATATTATTGGTTGACTTTGATAGGATATCATGAATTGATATAGGAGCAATATTTAACAATCACTAAACTTTATATTAAGACTAACCTCCGGAGCTTTGACTTGATCGGACAAGATTTACCATTAAATATGGGATATAAGCTGAGAGACAAAAACCAATCTCCACATTTATTCACTTAAGTATATGACCAGTTAGTCCACAATATACATACTTTAAACCATGAAATACGTATAGACTTACAGACATTCACTTTAAGGCCAAGTCCTACAGTATTTAAATGTTTTTCATGGAATAGACAGAGTCATGGATAAGTTTGAGAATGGGTTGGGTGAAGTTATGGAAAACCTTACAAAGTATAGAAGTACCTATACTTTACTTATGTATCAAAACACCAAAACCCTAGGACTTGACCACAGTTAAACTTGTCTTATCCACATCAGAAAGCAGAAGCACACAGAAAAGCATACATGAGGAGATGAAAACATGCACAATGCTTTGAAGGAAATGTTATTTTTCCCCCGATGTGGAACAGAACGCATTTCACACATAATGCGATAAAGCGCCACTATCCGCGCCAGACATCATGCACCCAGTATACGGATGTCACAGCTATTTCCCCGGGAACAAAGGACTGGGGGCTGAGACGGCTGCGGTTACAGTAGAGCACAATGTGACGCAGCCTGCGACTAACGACGCGAGAATTACATGCCGTCTGAGTGATCCACTCACAACAAAGGGTGCAACCTCGATCACTTGGGCGCATCATTGTGAAGCTGCGCAGGCCTTTTGTGGCAGTACATTGGTGCTTTCCGAAACAGGTGTTAGGATGAGCGTGATAGCATTGTGGCGAGTAATTTATGTGAGCTGCTGTCCAATCTGTCCTGGTGTTGTGTTGCTGTTCTATAAATATGTACCTGAGTGCCTTAAATTTAGCATTTTTACTGTTAAATAGAGTTCTGAAATGGTTTGAGGCTTTTTCAGTCATCCTTTCCGCTTTCAGATACATTCAACATATTCAAGACTTTCTCATTTTTTAAAGATTTTAACTACTGTAATAAGTTTTTTTACTATGCAAATCTCCATGTGTCCTAATTTCTCTTTACCCAGGGATTTATGTAGTTGTATACAGTCTTGATTTGAGCTGAAATGTGGTATGTATCTATAGTTTGTTACATCACAACATTGCAAAGAGCCTATAGTTTAAAATGTGGTGGAGCGCAGTTAAAAATGCGTTCCTGATAACTATGGTAAGTGTTGACTCCAATCAAGTTTATTCCCGGACAGGTTTGGGCAATACCTAATGACATAGTCTGTATTATAAAGGGGGAAGGGAGGTTTCAAGTTCCAATGATTCCTGATGTTAGAGTGAACTAAAACCAATTATATTTAATGATGTAACAGTGTTGTAAGTAACAAAAGTGATCATAATCATCATTTGGATGGATTTGCATTTTCTATTGTGCCCATATTCCACAAACAAGCTCACATTACCTCTCGACTCTTAACAAGACCAAAGAAAAAGTCCTTAACACAGATTTGATTAGTGTTAAACCTACAGTACTGCAGTGTCCAGGCTAAGAAAGACCTTTAATACATCAAAAAATAATTGCTATGATTTAAATTATTTCTCTCTCTGGGCACTGTAGTACTGCTAATGTTCAGCTAACAAAGTATGGACTTCCATTTTACTTGTTTAAGACCTTAAAAAACACCACAAGCTTAAAGTTGTCCGTTTTAAGTAAGTGCAGTCACTGTCTTGCTGAAACAGTTAGCATCTTTAGCATCATGAGTTTGTTCCACTGAAATCAACACATCGTTTCGGGTTCCATTTGATCTGATTCTAATCCATGGTCATTCCAGATTCATCATCTCAAAGTGGACGCCATGTTCCAAATAAGACAATCTCCACTTCCAAACTGCAATAAACCTGGTCAAACGGTGACACCATCCTTCAGACTGGGTACAATCGCCCCTTAGATCAGCCACAGAACTTATGAAGAGGAAGATTGAGGGGTCTCTCCTTGACACATTTGCCTTTATCGCAGTGACAGAAAAGTCTGTGCGCTCCATCACTGCCAGGTCCACCCGACTGAAATGCAGGAGAGAGAGAGAGGGGAGGGGGTGTCAGCGAGGTGCCTTCATTCGTCATGGAGACTGCCTGACAAAACTTTTCAGGGTAAATGACAACTTTAGGAGTACACACTCAGGGGCATTTCAGGTGATCCAACCCAAATTCTAGATAATTTCTTTATTACTTGACAATGTATTCTGATCAATTCATGATATCCGTTCCAATTATGATATGAAAGTTTTCCTGATCCCAAGCCATGTGAATCAGTGTGAAGCCATGTAAAATAAGCATGAGATTTGGCTCATAGATCTCGGTATCGCCATATATTGGTGATCCATTTCCATCCAAAGCAAGATTACACATACAAGCCAAGATAGATCGGATTCCAGGTCTGTTTTCGTTGTTGTAACAAGTTTAAAACTTAGAAATTGCCATAGTTTGTTCATGTGAGATCACAGCATTCCAAAGAGCATATAGTTTAAAATTGTGGTGGTGGGTGGCTTTCCTGGTAACTAGTCAGATGCAACCCATAAAACCTCTATAATACTTTTTGAAAAATTGTACGTGGCAACAGTGTCACTCACTCCACCACGGTTGGATCTGTTGTTTGATTGCTATAGAAACCTGACAAGTTGCTCTGCTCATTCAAAAGAAAACAAAACACATCTCTTCAATCTCAAAACACCATCCTCATGCTTTTGACCAGTGCCAGAGCCATGGAGCCGAAAGCTGAACGTAAGGTGCGTACGTTGATTTGCCGGTTACTAAACGTCACACGCTCGGACAGCAAAGATGACTTCGAAGAAATACACCAAGAACCAGAAGCCTCCAAAGTCGTACGTTTGTCAAAGGAAGACGCAGAAGTCCCGGATGTCAGACATTTGCCCATTGAAGAACCAGAGGGACCCGATCTTGAATCTTCACCATATGAGGAACCAACAAAGTGGACGTTTGCGCGGTCACCAGACTTGTACTCAAGAGCGCAGTACATTCCCCTTCCTCGGTTCATCACTGGCTCCAGACTCAAATATGAGGAACCATGTACCTCTGATCCGTTTACAGCTGCTACTACGACCCCTCCTCCAAGTGCGGCAGCTACAGAGAATCACCTGCTTCCAGGACGCACCAGAACACAGGGATTATGGAGGATTTCAAGAACGTAGGAGAGATGAAAATGCCGCTCAGGATGAAACAGAATAAATTATAATATGTATTTAATCAGATTTGATTCACCAGTTATTTCCTAAGTGCTGCTCTCTGTCAAATTTTGAACCACATATACAGTAAGCAAGGACATACTGAATTCCACAAGAATGGGAGGATTTGATATTGAGTCACAACAGCTATTGTTAGTTCAAAGAGAAAACAATGACACACAGACAACATTTGTAAGTGTTGGTCTCTGTCAAATGTTGAACCACACATAAGCAAGGACATAATAAATGGTGGACATGGAGGAGGAGGGTGAAGCGGCCATTTGCAAGAAGATGCTCGAGTAGTACAGCAATGATATAATGATAATAATTATACAATAGAATAAGTATGATGAAATTGGGACGTAGCGGTAGGCCAAGTGCACTTCATCAGTGTTGTACACAATCATGTGTTTGAAGTGTAGAAAGTAGCTGTTAGCTGGTTATTTATTGTTTACTTCTCTGCTTGTCAGATCATGTATAGGACTCACTTAAACTAACTCGAGTCTCTAAACTGTCTTCTTTCTGTGACCATTAGGTATAAGGAGAATGACTACAGCCCTACTTACCCGGGATAGTCCCAATTTTGAGTTCTGCTTCCCATGTTCCAGATGACTATTCCAAAACCATTGATTTGATTCAATTATTTACAGAAAAGTTCCCAGTTGTCTGCATTTCTGTCGTTTAGCCCTGTTTTAAAGTTGGTCAAAATACAAAATTGATAGTACAAGAATCTCATTTCATAATCATCTTGTCTGAATTTGACCTTTCTACTGCTCAGGTTCTTGTACAACAGGAGCCTGTGCAGTGAAGAGAAAATGAATGAATCCAGCTCTCCCTGATATTATAAATGTGTGATTGCATTTACAAAAAATAAGAATACAGAGGACACAAACTAATGGAATCTATTCTGTGTGAACAAAACAATGAAACACGTGCCGCAAGGGGCTGTGTACTTCTCAATGGACATAATGAGAGTTTCATATGTTCTTCCAAATTCATTCCTTCCACACCTCTATCGGTGCGTCTGGAGTTCAAATGGACTTTACACCACACATTATACTCTCTGCAGTACTACTCGGGCTCATGACATGACGTGGGGATGGAAGCACATGTTGAAAATGATTTGTGTTCATACTCAGTTTGACCCGTGGAGCTCTGGGGAGTGGGCTCTTCCGTGGCATCTACTGTGGGACTAGCGACAGGAGGAGCAAGAGGAGGGCTGCTGGCGGGTTCGGGGGTGCTATCGGGGAGGGACTGGCCTTCACTTAGGTCAACCAGGGCTCCCACTTCCGGCTGGGGGGACGAGGCGGGGCAGTTTGAGGGGGCCGGGTTGGCTTTGGTGGGACTAGCGGCCAGCGTGGTGCACTCGCTAACCGGGCTGCTCTGTGCCGTGCTATAGCTCTCGGAGTTAGTGGTGGTGGAGGGGAGCAGGATGACGGCGGGGGTGGTGAAGGTGCGGGTGGCAGGCCTGTGCGGGGCAGGACGGGGGGAGAGGGAGGGGGAGGGGGTGAAGCATAAAAGGGAGGGTGCAGGTGTAGTTAACAGTGAGTGCAAACCGAAAAGTAAAAAATGTTAGCAACAAAAGTAGATCATTTGGTGCAGCACACGGCCTGATCAGTGGTGGAAGGACGTACTCTTGATTCTATTTCAAATCCATCCATCCATTTTCTTCCCCTTAATCCATTTCTGGGTCGGGGGGGGGGCAGTCAGAGCTGCACCCAGTACACAGAGCACCAGCCCCTCACTGATCCTCCTGCAAGTGGTGAGTCCACAGGAGCTGAGATCTTTCAGTTGGGGCTTTGGGCAAAGTAGGGTTAAGTGTCTTGCCCAAGGACACAACGACAGCAGTCATCAGTGGGAGTCGTGAAGTAGGTCTTACGGTGGGCTCGAACCCACGACCTTCAGGCCCAAAGGCCAATGCTCTACCAACTGAGCCACTGTCGCCTCTATTTCAAATCATTTATTTTTATCATTTTTTTTGCGTCAATCCTTTTTAATATCATATGTTTTGTACGCTAAACACACTTCTGGCTCTTTGTGGTTAAGCGGTGTTGCATTTTAATTTAAATGCTAACAAGGCCATTCTATTTATCAAGGCTTTGCACACTGTATGTAAACCTGCTGCCTCTGCCCAGGGACTTCGAATCAAAATCTGCTTGGAGCTATGTCTGGTCAATACATTTATTGTGCAATGTCCCTTTCAACTAAATGAATAAAGAAAAAAAATAAACTATAAAAAGCATATTTTCTTTGGTTTCATATTATTTCTAAGCACATTTGTAAAAACATTTTGGCTTAATACAAATGGCAAAAAACATTTATCAAGAATTTATCAGGTACATTTGGTTAAAATATCTAATATACCTGAATCAATAATGGACTCAATCTAACACATTAACAGACTTTTTCTTCTTTAAAGTAAATGTCTATATGTTCTCTTTTTCCCTTTCACTTAAAGCAATAGTGCGTGACTTTCTGGAGGTAGAACATCTCCACAGTCCATTCCCTGATGAAGTTTAATATACTATATGAAAAGACTACAGCCAAAGTAACAACACCACACCCTCAGGCCAGGGGTGTGGAAATACAAAAATGTTGTACTTCTTCCACCACTGCGACCAACACATGTAAGAGATGTTGCTGCTGTTGTATCGGGACTGTTCAAAAGCACTGCTGTGTGACTCACTCTGGTTCTGTGAGCGGGGTGGTCTCGTTGGGCTCAGTGGCGCCCCCTCCCTCCTGGTTTGGGGCGGTCTCTTCCTCAGTCCTGACCTCCACTATGGGCTCCTTCGACTCGTCTTTCCTGTTGGTAAAAAAGCAGTCAATTTTCCATTATTTTACTTTCCTAAAACTTGAGGTTAAGGTACACTTTTTTTATTCTGTAGGGGAATATGTCCTGTGCATTTGTCCCACCCTGCAAAGCCTCGAGAGCAGGGGTGTCCAACCTGTAGCTCGGGAGCCACCAGTTGCTCGCCACTCTCTTCCAGGTAGTTCCCCAAAGGATTTAGAAATGAACAAATCACATTATCTAATTAATTTTTCAGATTCCCTTTGCGTCACTAGTAACACATATGTGATGGTAAATAATGACTGTATCCATTGTCAGTCCCATTCACACCAATTTTTTTTAACCAGAGTCGCTTAAAGGAGTAGCTCTCTGCCTTTATCATCCCGGGAAAGTAGCTCTCTGGGTGAAAAAGGTTTGTGACACCTGCTCTAGAGATTCTATCCAATAAAAAAATCCAAAGCTCTCATTGGATTTGACCTTTTGTTCATGTTTTTTATTGGTAGAGGAAAATGGCTCTGTCCTGAATTTGTCGTCACATATGACTTTTAGGGGGCGACAGTGGCTCAGTTGGTAGCGCATTGGTCTTTGTGTCTGAAGGTCGTGTGTTCAATCCCCTCATTAAACCCACTCCAACTACTCTCACCGAAGTCTGCTGTCATTGTTTGCTTGTGCAAGACACTTAACCCCGCTTTGCCCGAAGCCCCTGCTGAAACACCAAAGCCGTGTCTTTGATGACCGAGCAGCCATTTTCCTGTGGACCCACCACCTGCAGGAGGATCAGTGATGGACTGGTGCTTTGAACATTGGGTGGCAGCTCTGGCTACCCCCCGACCCAGAATAAATATCGACTTTTAAAAAGAGAATTCAGACAGAAGGGTTGTGAATGGAGACAAAAACAATCCACAATGGGAACAAAGTTGTATGATTTCTTCCATTATGTGAATTGTCCTAAAGCACAATTCAACATTGTTCACTGTAGTTGGAGCAGTCTTTAGACGGTTCCAAACTTGTATAATAATAATGAGCCTGAGTTCCCTGAGCTCGCTGGTCTCCTGGGAGCGGGACTTTAGCATCAGACTTGCAGAGAGAAGCATCTGGCGCCGCTCCTATCAGCTCTGGATACACGTGTCTCCTGTGATTTCTCGCACACAAATAGCAGCTGTGCTCAGAGACGGCGCGCTGGGTAAACACGCGCCCTAATGCTCTGTTCGCGGCTGTGTGCTGAAGACACTGCTATGTTTGGAGGTTCACATTTCACTTTCTGAAATAATGGCACGCGATCAGGAGAAACTATGAGTGGTTGGGGGGATGAGGTCAACCATTGTATCTTTAATCTTACATTTAAGCTGCAGGTGCCTGAAGTACTATTGACCTGTTACACATCTCACACATTTCATGGTGCGGTGACGGGACCATGGGGCGCGATCCCCTCCTCAACTCAGTCCTGAATCTGTCCATTGGTCGCTTCGAGGTTTCTCCAACTGGGTTTTTTAGTTTTTGTTGTCGATACAGGAAGGGTCTAAAGGGGCGTTCACACCGGACTTAACTTGGGCGTCAAAAGCGTCAGGTTTCCATTGAAAGTGAATGGTGAAGCGCGTCAGGTGAAGCCGAGAGCCCCGGCGTCACTTGACGCGCGTCAAAAGCTTCAAAGGTCGCGCGTACTACGCGCTCACTTGAAGCTTTTGACGCGCGAAACGCTCGCGTATCAAAACAATCCCTCTGACGCCGAAGCTGAGCAAAGCCGAGCTTTTGAAGCTTTGACGCGGGCTTCAACCAATCAGGAGACGAGGAGCAGCAGCAGCAGAGGGTCTGTCTCTGTCATGGAGAGAAGTCATGTATCTGCTGCTGTTGTTTTATTGTCATTATTGTTATTAGTAATATTATTTGTATGAGTAGTAACATTCTGAGTAACAAAAACCATTGTACACATGCTGTGTAGTAAACGTAGTTTATTTAATATAAGAACAGTCTGACGATGAGTCTGGCTCAGAGCAAGGCAGCTCCGGGCGGGCGAGAGCCGAGGAGAGGCAGGAAGAGGCGAGCGAGAGGCAGGGAGAGGCGAGCGAGAGCCGGGGAGAGGCGAGCGAGAGCCGGAGAGAGGCAGGGAGAGGCGAGCGAGAGCCGGGGAGAGGCGGGGAGTGGCGAGAGCGAGGCGGGGAGAGGCGAGCTCCGGGGTTTGAGAACTCAGACTGGGCGAGTGACATGTGGAAGTACCGCTGAAAGCGAAACTCCTCCGTACGCAGCTCCTGGAGTAAATGACGGAACTCTGCAAACACTGCAGCCTCTCAAGTCTGTGGTGAACCCAGAACATGTTTTGTTGAAGCCCTACAACAACGTTATTTTGCTTTAAATAACAAATAAAGGCTCGCTGCTCATTGAAAAATCCACCGCTGTCCTGACTACAGACAACAGAGAAGCTCCTCCCACCGGCGTCAGGCGCGTCACTCGCGTCAAAAGCTTCAAGCACCAAAATGACAAAACTATCCCGGCGTCAGTTGAAGCGCGTCAAAAGCTTTTTGAAGCTTTTGGTCTGAACGCGCCTTAAAGCCTAGCGTACATCGACAGAGAAACTGGGGACAACTAGTTGCAAGGCGGCTTTTGGCAACTGAGAGGAGATGGTGGGAGATGATCAGTTGCCGAAATCGGTCGATGTGCGCGCTCTTACAACTGGAGATGATCAGTCGGTCTCCAGTTCCAGTCAGTTGCCCGTGTTCTACTTTTCGGCAACTAGTTGTCCTCAGTTGCCCCGATGTGCGCGCTCCATGCGCCGCTCCGACAACGTGTGTGTATTGCGTGTATTGCGAGCCCGCAACAGTTTGTTGTCAGAAAACACACTGTGGTTGAGGCCAGTTGCTGTCGATGTACGCGCTGTTATTCAAGAGACTGGCCTGCGACTCAGAGTTGCCCGTTTTCGCCAGATTGTCGATGTGTGCGGGGCAGCAACTCAGAGACGACGGATATAATCAGTTGCCAGTCCGATGTACGCTAGGCTTAAGGGCAGGGGATGATCCGGGACATTTATGATAATTGTTTAACCTGTTATTCAATCGACCACTGACTGTTGTGTTGTGGAAAGAGAGGGATTTCTCCGAGGTACGACAGCGAGGTATAGCCAATCATTTTAACTCCAACATTGATTGTGTTGAATGACGGCTCAAGTTTCTTACTTACAAAAGAGAGCCATTAGAATAATAAATTAGGCAAACTAAAACACTCTCAGAATCTTTTTTCGTATGTGTGTTTTATTTGTTATTGTATTTTGTTGAATGATACTTCAGATACTTCTGTTTGAGTTTGGACATCTTGCATTAGTTAGTTAGTATCTTATGAGATTTGTAACAGGGGTATAGTTAAGAGTTAGAAAATAAATAAGGTTGTGATATCTGCTGTTGCTAAATGTTGAGACTGAGAATGTCGTTGAGACTATTTCAAAAATGAAACAGGCAGCTGCTCACAAACACCTGTCCATGTGGTTTGGAGATCCAGAGTGAGATCCATGTTGTCACTAGTTGCCACTAAATATCCAGATTAATTCCGCAGCTGTACTTCAGTTTGTAGGTTTTCCCAACGTTTCGTCCTTAATCCCCTGCTGAGCTTTCATTCCCTTGAGAAAGTTCTTTGGATTAAGGACAAAACGTCGGGAAAACCTGTTAACGGAAGAACAGATGATAGGGGAGCAATCTTTCTTTGTTTTGAGTAATCACTGAACGACTGAACGACCTTACACACAATGTTGAAGGTGTGCTCATACTCAATAGTGTATACATGTACGTTTTGGATGTTGTTTTGACTTTGCCGGCCTATTTGGCCTTTTGAATAATTTTATCTTAAGGCTTTGTTGCCCTTGTAGGGAGATTTGTCCTCTGCATTTGACCCATCCTTCAATGCCACTAGAGCAACCTGTCAGGATCAGTGGTCGCCAGCACACTGCAGCGTCTGGGGACCATCTCTGTTGACGCTTGGCTTGGAGGATTTCCTGTACATGTCTTTGGTGGTCATGGAAAGCTACGCAGACACAGGAAGAACATGCAAACTCCACTCAGAAAGACCCTGTTGCGACCGCGATTTGAACAGGACCTTCTTGCTGAGAAACAAGTGCTGACCACACTGTACTTCAATAAATCGTTCTATGTCTATGTCTTGTTCAAAGTGGACTTACGTGAAGGCGGCTTTCCCCTCCTCAGCGTCCTTGGCTTTGGCCCCGGGGCCTCTCTTCCCGCACATGTTGACGGCGAGGCACATGAGCAGGCCGCACTTGTTGAGGAAATAGCAGGTCACGTCCACGCCCACCAGCAGCACGAAGAAGACCACGATGAGGATCCCCACGATGGCTCCTGTGCTCAGGCCTGATGCACCGCCGTTGTAGCCTGTAGAGGAGGACAACAGGGAGGGGAGGACAAGGGGAGAGGTAAGAGAGACAAAAGACATCAGATCAGAACTGGATGGAAAGGCTTTGAACCAAAAACATAAAATCGCAAATGGAACAAATGTTGGTCCAGTATAGTTTTGGATTGAAAGCTGTGAGTCACTATATGAGGCTTTGGGCTGAGAGCTGAAAGGATGAGTGAGAAATGGACGATCTGTCAATGTGACAAAAGACAAGCAGCGCATACGCTTGGGTAAGAATGTCTCGGACACACTGATTACAACCACAGGAGCTCCTCATAGGGCTGTACACCAACTGCACCTCCAGCCATGCCTCTGTGAAGCTGTTTGTGGACGACACCACCCTCCTTGTGGTTCCGCCTACAGGAGGGAGGTGGACCGGCTGGTGTCCTGCTGCAGTGGTAACAACCTGGAGCTGAACGTCCAGGAGACAGTGGAGACCATTGTGTCCTTCGGGAAGACCTCAGACCTCCCGCCCCCACCCTCCGTGATGGACTCCCCCATCACCTCTGTGGAGTCCTTCCGTTTCCTGGGCACCACCATCACCCAGGACCTCAAGTGGGAGCCGACCATCAGCTCCCTCATCAAGAAGGCCCAGCAGAGGATGTACTTCCTGCGGCAGCTCAGGAAAGCCAAGCTGCCTGCACAGATGTTAGTTCTACACGGCCATCATCGAGTCCATCCTCACCTCCTCCATCACCTCCTCCATCAACTCCTCCATCACCTCCTCCATCACCTCCTCCATCACCGTGTGGTTCGCTGGAGCCACAGTCAGGGACAAACAGAGACTACAGCGCATTGTGCGCTCTGCAGAGAAAGTGATCGGCCGCAGCCTTCCATCTCTGCAGGACCTGTACGTCGCCTGAGCTTGAAGCCGGGCTGGTCGTATCACAGCCGACCCCTCTCACCCTGCACATGGACTATTACAATCACTCCCTTTGGGCAGGAGGCTACGGCCCATTGAGACCAGAACCTCCCGCCTTATGAACAGTTTCTTCCCCTCTGCAGCTGGACTCATGAACACTTCAAAACTCATCACTGACCTCTGCCCTTTACGGTCGAACACATTATTCTACTGTCCCTTTAATGAATTGATAGATTTTTATTGTGTGTACTTGGTGTGCTCTTATAGTAGTCATTTTAAGAAATGTTATGAAGATTATTTATGCAAGCCTTATATCTATTTTATTTTTGTTTGCACCTTGAAGCTTAGTTTGTGAATAAACATAATTTGTATTCTGATTCTATATCTATCTAAACTTTTCAAAAGATCAACCAAGAACGAATCCAGACTGGTTCACTTGTAGTAAAACACGTCCGGGAGCAATGGCATGATTATTGAACAGATCAATTGTTTTGCTAATTAGCTTCTCAGTTAATAAACATAATTTAAAAATCTCTTCCAGCGAAGTAGACTCTTCTGATGACAAATAAAACATGTTCAAACTTCATCTGGGATCTCTTCTCTTACCTGTAACTGTGGCTTCAACAATTCCGCTGCCAAGTATAATAAACCTAGTATACAGAAAAGCACGGCAAAGTGGGCTGGAACTTTATATTGGCTTTTGGGAAGTTCTATTTCAACACGAGGACCCGGCTGAACAAAAGAATGATGTGCTGCTGCTGCATAGGCAAAGTAGATATCGCCGCATTGTAGTGTAAAAGAAGGTGACAGCTGCAGGTGTGCGAGTGTGACAGAATGTGCTTCCATCACCTTTTGCACAGAACCTTCTGAAAACAACTTTACAGGTGCGGAATAATTCATAAGCTGTATTGTGGAAAAACCTTCATACGGGCTGATGAAACAATACCATTTCCTTATCAAAACTAAACCTGCCATTACATTTTGTCTGACTTGTGATTGCAACTGGAAATTTCTGAAATCTTTTTCCCACTCTCACATATGGTCAAAGTCAAGATTAGTTTCCCCTGAGAGACTGCTCGCTCCCTTATGCCTAGCGTACATCGGACTGGCAACTGATTATGAGTAGCTGCCCCGCACACGTCGACAATGTGGCGAAAACGGGAAACTCCTGTATCAGGCCAGTCTGGGGAATAACAGCAACTGGCCTCAACTACAGTGTGTTTTCTGACATAAACTGTAGAGGGCGCTATACACACATTACACACACGTTGTTGGAGCACATCGGGATATCTCCGGATCTGAGGACGACTAGTTGCAGAAAAGTAGAACACGGGCAACTGACTGAATCCAGAGATCGACTGTTTATCTCCAGTTGTAAGAGCGCGCACATCGACCGATTTCAACTGATCATCTCCATCTTCTGCTCTCAGTCGCCAAAAGTCGCCTTGAAACGAGTCGTCTCCAGTTACTCCAGAATTGAAATATGTGCTATTCATTTGTTTGTGAATGTTGTTATTTAACAAACTGGCAACCCAAAATGAGAGCCTCATTCTGATCCCTGATTGGATAATCTGTTGGAAAATCATAAACGTTGTATATTTCATCAAGAAAAGCTCCATTTTAAGCTTTTGTTCAGAAAAGTGTTAACCTTTAATCTCGGGACACATATGACAAATGCAGATGTAATTTAAAGTTAATTTATTACATACTGCCCCTTTAAATGCAATTCTTTACTGCTTTCTTTCTTGGGCTTCCATGGAATTACCACTGTGCTTTGTAAATGTTTGTAATTGACTTGGAAGAATATCTAACAACTCAAACATAAATCGCAAATCTAATCTAATGCTTATCCTAAAAATTCCCACATACATATATTTTGCCAAAACCCTTAATGGAGTGTTCCATTTGAACCCAGCACCATTCCCCATTTGAACTCTGACAAATACATAAGGAGACATTTTAAGATGATACTTTGGCCTTATCTTCCTTCCTGTTTCCTCCCATCTCTTTCCGCCCATATAAGGACATCCAATCTTTGACCATCGACATAACAAATCCATGTTCAAAGCAGAACGCTCCAGCTGCTGCTCTCCTCCCGTTAAATCAACACTTGTCGCATTAATAAAACCATTTTTCAGGGCCAAAAGTGCCAGGACTCCCTTTGCTTTTTTCCCGCATAAACATGAACTTGGCTCACGGGAGGAGCAAACCGGATTTACAGAAGCGAAGGATTTGGGAGGGAGCTTTGCATTTGGAAGAAGTGTTATCTTTAATTATTTTGGAATTTGACGACATTGGAATTAACCCCTGAGCAAAAAATAAGCGCGTGACAAGCTGTATTTCGTTCTCGTTGGCTTGGAATGTTTGGGGAGTCTGCGTAGAGAGAGGAAAAGTTGTTTACGAAATGAATAATGTCTGTAATTTATGAGTTCAGCGAAAGGGGATGATGTACGCCTCATTATAAATATATTCTCTGGTTTTCTTGGCTTCCCGTGGCCCAGAGGATTTACTTTAAAGCTGCTCTGTTTGTGTACAAGTCTCTCCATGGCATCTGATTAGCACAGGGACTGGACTCCTGCTGGGACTCTGAGGAGCACAGGGACTGGACTCCTGCTGGGACTCTGAGGAGCACAGGGACTGGACTCCTGCTGGGACTCTGAGGAGCACAGGATCTGGCCTCCTGCTGGGACTCTGAGGAGCACAGGATCTGGCCTCCTGCTGGGACTCGGAGGAGCACAGGGTCTGGCCTCCTGCTGGGACTCTGAGGAGCACAGGGTCTGGCCTCCTGCTGGGACTCTGAGGAGCACAGGGACTGGCCTCCTGCTGGTGCCCAAAGTCAGAACTAAACATGGGGAGGCAGAGTTTCAGATTGATGCAGCTAATATCTCGAACAGTCTTCCTGAAAATGTGAGACAGGCTTCTTCTCTGACAATGTTCAAAACCAGGTTTAAAACACACACGCAGACAACTGAAGGACTGAATCTTTAATATTTTTAACCCTTTAATGTTCACTCCTTGAATAAAGCAATGTTTTTTTTTTTTCCATTTTAGATTTTTGAAGATGTGGGACGCTAAGAACATAAATGTTGGAATGTTGGAGTGCGCATGCGCTGAGCAAGCAGCAAGTCTGAAGTAGCTCCGGTTGATTTTATAACGGTCATCGCTGATGTAAATGTGTGGGGGTTTTAATTTTTTATCATATTTATATGTATTGTCTTTTTTATCCGCTGTTTTGCTACTAAGGACAACTGAATTTCCCCTCGCTGGGATGAATAAAGTATCTATCAATCAATCTATCAATCAATCAATCAATATTTCGTTTCTATGTTTTTTTATTTCCACCCCTAGTTTTATGTTTTATTATAGGCCTTTACCACATGCCTACTGAGATGCAGCTTGATGTAAAAGTGCCTAAAACCAAGGGAAATGCGCGAAAGAGGGAGATTTCAGTTCCAAGCTTCAAGTCGAGAGTGACTCAAAAGTTCATCCAATCTACTGTGATTATTTAGGATTTGTGATCTGAGTTTCCTTGTGTATGAACTGTGCTACTGTATACAAAAAAACTTGCCATTCCTATTAATAACAGTTTTTTGCATATAGTTTTCAGATATAATGCATTCTTTATTAAATAGCTTATATTCTACCCGTGTTAATGAGCAGAAAAGCAAGTATTTCTAGTCTCACAGAAGAAATGCCCAAAGAGTGTTTTCCGGCTCTGGTCATGAATAATACATGGTGTTTGTCCCAACAGAAAGTTTTGTGAAATGTTGAGAAAAAATCAGAGCAGATGCTGTCTTCATCTTTTTACACACTTGTGAGGAAGAGCCCTGTGACTTGACACTTTGGGCTGAGAGCTGATTGGCCGGGGTCAGGGTGGTCCTCTCTTTTCCATTTTTCTGCCTAGAAATTCTGATCTGAAGATGTGACAGAGGCCAAAAGACAGACCTTGTTTTGAAAGGAACTAGAGACATGGATTATATTACAGTTCAGTTATTTTGATGTGGTTTGAAAGTTAGGTACTGCAGCTTTAACCCTTTGATAGTTTCTTCAACCATTTAGTGGGTCACTGTTGAATCCCTCTTTCTACGTAAAGCTTGGAACTGAAATCTACCTCATTGGAGCTTCTTTATCACATGGTTTTAGGCACTTTTACCATCAAACTGCATCTCAACTATTT